GAGAGTGAGAACTACTTTCTTCTGTACTTTTTTTACAGCTGTCAAAAAAAAATTTGATAAAATCTAATTAGTGTTACTTTTTATTTTAAACTCACTTCAGAAGATTTCCACCGTGGCTACTCTACTTTGGCTGGGTGCTGCTTCTGCTCTTCACACTTACGCACCACACAGGGCAGGTACTGGAGCCTGTTTAGTTTACTGCCTCCTGAAGGAGAAGTCAACACCATTAGCTTCAGCTGACCACTTCAATAATTCCTCATCAAACAAATCCCATGAGTATTTATTTCCCTTTGTTCCCTGACTTCTAAATCTGCAATAAATCAAACACGTCATGTCCAAAAAGCTACTTAAAGATAATGGACTCTTCCACCTGCCTCCAAAGGGCAAAGCTGGACTATTCCCTGACTGCTTTCCTGTACTTTTAATGTTGAATTAACCATTTTCCTGCTGTGTACTGTTCACATGGGTCTCAAATTCAAGGATACAGAAACTTGAGCCCCTCTTCCAAAAGGCTCAAACATACCTCAATTTGTAGGAGTCTGCCTTCTATTAACCAAAAAATAATTAAAATAGGGCATTTGCTATTTCTGAGAACATATAGTTGTCAGGCTTCTTGAAAACCTACTGAGGCCATTTCTGCTTACAGACTTAATCATTTAACGATGTGTACCTGTAGTGACAAAGCTGTTTAGGTCTCTGAAGACTCACTGAAAGCAAAACCTGGGTTCCTCAAGCTTCAAAACATGTCAAAGCCCTGCGCTCAGGGTTCATTTATTTACTTCCAGCCTTTCCCTGGCTCCATGCAGAGGTTTTGCTACTGCAGAGATCCTCCACACACACCCTGCTTCTCCCCATGGATTTTCCTCACTTTGTCACTATGCCACGGTGTTAGAAAATTAGAACCATGCAAGTTGTACAGGGGGAAGTCAGAAAATTCTACACAACTGCCATTATGGTGTTTTTAATTAATCCTCCTATCTCAGTGGTAACTCCAAAACTTACACTGGTGACTGTAACGCAGGAACATCCCCCAAAGCCCAGATCCACCACCAGGCTGGGGGCTGGTCCGTGGTTTCCGTTGCCATGAAAATAAATAAATAGAAACATGAACTTTAGGGCTTCCCTCTTAGAATACCAAGGCACATTTATTTTTGTGGAAATCATACTTTGCCAGTTCACACTTCTACTACTCAGGGAAGATACACCGCGTTTAGTCAGGAGAAGTTTCCCACTGCTAGTCTAAGTTTGTTCTTTGGCTCCTTCTTCATCTAAGCACTGAAAAATGCGTGCTTCCTCAGCTGCCATTTAAGCATGCAAGAAATGAAATGAAATGAAATGAAATTCAAATGAATTTCACTGAATTCAAATGAAACTGAAATGAAATAGAAATGAAATGGAATGGCTCCCCTTGGCACTCTGAGCTTTGCTGTACCTACAGCTGATTGAACCTGCCAAATCTGGGTTTGGTTCAGCCCGGCTGAACATGGCCACATCAAAGCCCTGCACCTCCGCATGGAAAGGGCCCATCTTATGCAGAGGTACCTGGGAAAGGTGCTGATGGTGCAGGTTACATCAGCCTTCACACCAATACATTCCTGTCACCAGGAATGCCACCCTTGGGAACGGCTCCCTCTGCAGTGCTGACAGGAGCCAAGGGCAGCGGGGAGCGCTGGGACCTGAAGCCCCTCAGGCCAGGGGAACGTGACCCAGGCTGGGGCCCAAAAGTGTGGCTGCACCTCCAGCCGTGCCCTGGTGAAACCATTTTCCCTTGCACAGACACACCTGTTCTCACACCAGCTGACACCTGCACAGCAAGAGTTAATGCTATTAATCAGCTCCCTGCCAAGCTGAAATGCATGGGGTTATGCTCCCTGCTGCTCCTTGAAGACTGCCTGCTTCTGCTCCTTATCTGCCAGCCCTCGGGCAGGATCCAGCCCTGCCTCCCAGCTATCCCAGGGCCAGGGTGCTGCCCTGCCATCTTCGCAGTCACAAGGCAGAGCCTTCATGGTTTTAGGAGCGCCTGCCAAGATGAGAAGTTCTGACAAGGGAAGTACCAAATTCAGCCTTTTTTCTCCCCAGAAGATGGAAGTGATTGCGTAACCTCCCCATCCCCTTCTAACGGAAGCAAGAATATTTGAGTTTATTTAAGAATTTTTTGGCTTCCTCTTTTTTCAGCATTGACAGCAATGGCCACGGTGGTTACTGTTTGCCAGTGCCCACTGAGCTTGCTTGCCAAGGTCAGTGATTTCTCCCAATAGAGGGAAAACCCAGTGAAAAAGCTGTACAAGGATGAGCTGCAGTTTCTGAGGCGGAGGAGGAGGAGAGGGGTACAGGCTCTGGATGGTTCAGCAGGGCTTCCCTGGCACTGGGGCAGCAGCAGAGGCAGAGCCACGCGGGATCAGACGGCGTCAGACTGGAGTCCCAGCCCAGATCTGCCAGCGAGCGCCTTCTGTGATGTGCAAATTGTTTCAACCAGTTTCCCTACAGGGTGGAGAAATAAATCTCTATTCCTTTCATTCTAGCACTATGAGATCATATTAATATTAAAAAGGGGCATGCCCAGCTCTAGAATTAGAGCTCAAGACACTTTTCTTTAAAGATCTGATGCATAAATAAAACAGATAATTATTTATTATGCCAGCAAGTAAGGCAGTTATAGAGCTAGAGTAACAACTCCTACTGCTGTACTAAAAGATTTAACTTGGACAGAATGGGAGCAAATCACTGAAATTGTCCTTCACAAAAGGTGCACTGTCAGCTCTCACAGGAACAGATTCCCAGCTCTGGAACAATTTAAGTGGATAGTAAGGGAGGTAGGACAGTTGTGGCTAATTTCCTGAACAAATTCCAGGTTACAGCTGAAATGCCTTGTGACACTTCCACAACTGTCAGGATTTCTCAGCATAAGGCAACACCAAACAACCAAAAAGTCCCTACCTAAAAATGTCACCTAATTGTAAGGGACGAGGTCATGCGCTACCAGGCTCGATTTTAATTATCTGGGGCAAACAGGTGGACGAAAAGACTCGTGCGCGTTGATGAAAGAATTTGCTGCTCCTTAACCAGTTTGCTTTACCTTGGAAGCAGCTCTTCCCTCAGTGCTGCCCCAGCTGTCAGAATAAGCACTTCCAGCTCCTTCAGCTGGAGCGCTTTGATATCCTGTGATGAAAGGCTCCGTGCGTGGCCGTTCCCTCAGCCCACATCTTCTCCTTCGCCCGGGTTACTGCCAGCCAGTTTATGTTTATTAAAGGAGAAAAAAGCACAAAGCAAAGAAGTGAGGAGTGCCTTTTATTAAAGCTAATTTCTGAGGCCAACCCACACTTCCCACTGCTGCCAAAAGGCTCAGAGTTATTGCCTCTGCTGCAGCCTGTTTGAATAGAGAACCTTTCCCTGGGTACTGATAAAGCCAAGGAGATACCTACTCCTAGCATGCAATCTGGGAGAGTCTGTACTTCACAGCTTTCTTATTCCAATTGCAAACAGAAAAATATTTTCCCCATTTTTTTTTTTCTTTAGGAAGAAACCATTTTCTAGTCAAAAGCCAATGAGATGATGATGTAAAACGCCAATTAAAACTGATCCAATGCAGTCCACATGCTGAGCAGCGAGAGGGAAGGAAGTTCACACTGACCAAAGAAATGCCTTCAAAAGCTACTTAACACCTCACCTGGACAAAACCTTCTGTAGAAAGGGAGGACTGAGTGCTTACCTGGCAGGTAACACCAGAACCAGCACAAAGCTTAGTACCCACAAGATCTTGGGACACTTAAAACCTTCCTACCCACCAGCACTGGGCAAGGGAGATTTCACATGAGCTGCTTCCTCTTTATAAATGATTATGTAAAAGGCTGGTCTAGCTTTTGATACGTGTTTAACCACAGAAGTCCACTAAACAAATATTTGTAACTGCTTTGATGTAAACAATAATGGAAACGGTCATCTGCACACATTAGAAAGTGTTTCACTAGGAAACAACTGTATGATTATCACCAAAAGCACAGACCAGATGAACCAGATGATTCATTAAAAATAATAACCCATCAAAGCTGGCTGGTTTAGGATAAAAAAATGAACCAAAGATATTGTTTCTGTGCTTCAATGGCAGCTTCAGAAGAGATATTAAGTATTCCTTACTTTTACAGAAAGGTACGCTAGTGCTGCTCAGAAGCAATTAGGTAAAAAGAAAGCCAAGACTTGCAAACTGCTAATTTTACTTCAGCTCAGTTTCCAGTTCCCTTTTTTTCCCTCTAAACCTGATTTAGGAAATCAGGTTTGTGGTTCTAGAGCATGCCAGACCACACCTGTGCCAGTCCTCTGGATGATAAAGAAAAAAGCAAAGTCTGAGAAGATGACCCTGGGCTCAAAGCAGAGAGAGGAGAGAGACACAGACACAGCCTGGGTATCCCAGCACCCCCAAAGCACCACCAGGTTTGCAAAGGACTAGCTGGTATTAAAGTCCTGCTGCACAGACAAAAGAAAACACACTTTTGAGCAGTATATACACATATATATATATATAGACATATATATATACACACACACATAATAACAGAGGTGATTAAAACTGGTGTGATAAAAACTGTATGTCGTTGCCCTCTGGTTTCTGATACTTGAATTATCAATGCTAAGACTTTAATACAAACTATCAAATTATTCTAACTACTGTCATTTTTCTGATAACCGCTTAATTAAATATCCCTATACCTCTTTCAAGTCCCTCAAAAAAGGTGCTTTTCACTCCCTTCCTGGCCCAGTATCTCCAGTGCATAAAAAAGACAACAGCAAACATACCTCAGGCTCTTCTTCCTCCAAACCAGGTTATTTGTAGCCTTGGCTTTGCTGGTACTGGGAAAGACCTTTTAGCAGAGCCTGGAGCTGGGTAAGGATTTGCAACCTGACTGCAAAGCACTGAGAAACATCACCCAAAGAGCTGAAAGAAAAAAGAGAACATGTCCTCCAGACACATGCAGAATCTTCTTCATTTGCAGCAAGAACAGAAATCACTTCCAGCAGGAGGAAGCTGTACAATCAGCAGTGTCCTGCTGTCAGCTGCAGAGCTGCTAACTCTCATCAGGACCTGGGTTACACCACCAATTCTAATGCTCCTGGATGTGAATCATCTCCTTAACCTCAATGAAGAGATCCACAGTCGTAAGTAAATGTCACTGAGATTTTTCTAAATTACTTCACACAACATCAGAGAGCACAGAATATGCTGAGCTGGATCCCAAGGATCATCAAAGCCCAGCTCCTGGCCCCGCACAGGACACCCCAACAATCCCTCCTGTGCATGGGAGCGTTGTTCAAACGCCTCCTGAGCTCTGCCGGCCTTGGCGCAGTGACCACTTCTCAGGGGAGCCTGCTCGGTGCCCAGCCAGCTTCTGGGTGGAAAACCTCTTCCTGATGTCCAAGCTAAACCTGCCCTGACACAACCTGAGGCCATTCCCTCAGGTGCTGTCACTGTCACCACCTGCTCCCCTCACCAGGAAGCTGTAGCTCCGTGAGGTCTCCCCTCAGTCTGCTCTGCTCCAGGCTGAACAGCCCGGTGCTGCTCCTCACAGGGCTTCCCCTCAAGGCCTTCAGCATCCCTGTGCACTCCTCGGGATGTTCTCAAGCACCTTTGTATCTTCTTTACATTCCAGTGCCCCCAGCTGTCCCCAGCCCGAGGCCAGAGCAGGGTGGGCCTATGCCAAGGACATGGCTGGCCCTCCTGGCTGCCGGGGCACTGCCGGCTCAGGGGCTGTGCTCACACTGAGCTTGAGAATGAGGAAAGAAAACGGCTTATACATTTATTCTACACATTAAAAAAGATAAGCATGAAATAAAAAAGGCACATTTCCTTAGCTCATTAGCATTTAAATTTAAGAAGCAGTACGAACAAGCACTGTGAAATTAAAATTTATCTTAAAATAAGATTTAAGTCTGGCATTACTTCCACATGAAAACCAGCGTGTTGCTCTTGCACACAAGCAAGGCCTGATTTTGAAACATGTATCCATGAAGATGTGTATACATGTTTATACATGAACTTCACCCAAGAACAGTGTTTGCACATCCAGGTGTAAATACATAAATCTAAATATATAAAGGAAACCTTCATTTTCCCCCAAGACTGAACGCATGATGACTTGTATTCACAATATGGGCTAGAATTAAATGTTCATATCAAAATGACACAATCAGAAACTATAGTTATTTTGAAACTTCTCTGAAGAAGTGGGCCTCAAATCATCAGCTAATAATCCTGGTTAAAGAGTTATTTGAAATAAACTTAATTTGCTTTATTGCTGTAAAGATCATGTTAGTAAACCAGGAACTTTCTAATACAGAGAAAGAGTTAATTTTTTACTGAAATAAACTACATGCTCAGAAACAAGCAAGAGACCAAATAACTGCAGCTGCTAACAGATCACACAAGGAGTTTTAACTTTTGCTGTCAGCAGCTGATATGACTTTTTAATAGCACTGAATATGTATAAATCTAAAATTTTGCTTAGTAAATATTATTTTATAAGAGATTTTTCTTTCTATAAATACGATGATGACTTGTGCAATAATCATGACTAATTCCTAAAGACTTAAAAGGATTACCTTTACAGTGCCAAATGACTAAGATCCTTAGTTAACTAAATTTTCTTAATGTGTTCTCTAATTTTGATTTTGTATTTTTATTGTTTTCCATCATTTTGAATTGCTTCTTGCTCTTTGCTTAGGCACAACTTTGGCTGACCACTCATGCTATCAAGGCAGTATTTCAGATTTTGACTTCTTAAGCCTTCGCAGTTTTAGCTTCCCGAGACCATTTTCCACTTCTTTTTTTCTTTTTTGGGAAAGCTTCTCTGAAGACACGGGGTGCAGTTCTAGACATGGTGTTGGCACTGCAGGCAGCTCTTCAGGGACTGTGCTTGGCTCACTTTGGCTTGTCTGCACTCCACTGCTGCTCACAAAAAGAGACCAAGAGGGGTTTTTTCTCAAAGTCAATGACTTCTTGTCAACCACAGTCTTTGTCACGTCTTGCTTTGAAAACAGCCTGGAATTAAGAGGCGTCTTCTCCTCCAGGAATGGACCCAAACAATGATCATCCCACTTACTCATTTCTGTATTGACAGAAGTTAAAGGAGTCTCTTCAGAGGACACTGTTGTGAAATGCTCCAACTTTTCCTCTGAACCAGGGGCGTCGAGCTGAGCCTGTGCTCTGGTCACCCTCTGACTCTGTCTAGGAGCCGGCAGCACTGACTCAGAGCTGCAAGGAGGGCTCTCACTTAGCAGACTCGCCTCTGGCCACTCCAGAGAGTGAGGTTTGTGCTGGCTGTGAACCCCTCCTGGCTCTCTCTGATGAACATCATTTCTCTGCTCTAGCACAGGAAGTCCCAAGCTGCTCTCAGCTGTGTTTGTGCAGTCCTTCAGCAGGCCTGGGCTCCTACGTTTCACAGCAGACCGAGCACTGAGAGAAGTCTCACAGTCTCTGTTCTCTGTCTGTGAGTCTGCACAGCCAAGATACACTTTCTTGGAGTCCTTGCTGATTTGAGGTTTGCTTGCACTACTTCTCCTTGGTTTTGTCCTCTTCACACTGAAATAAAAAGGAATTTTGTTTTTTAAATTAAAAACGAACCTTTACTGACTCCACTTACTGTTTTTCCAACTCTGAAACACCACTTGGGCCACCCAATTTCTGAACATGGAAAAAATCCCTGTGTATCATCTTGACAAGCAGCAGTGTTTGCCTAGAGTGGATAATATCAAGCGTTATCCATCTGATTTTCCACTGTGCTAGGGGAGAGCCCTATTTATTAATGACTAAGCCATGAAGAAGTGAGTTCACACTCTTTTCCAAGAGGCAGAACTGGATTCATTACAGATGTTAAAGGTCAACAGAGCAGAAGTATATTGAATTCCTTTCCGAACCGGCTAGATAAAACAGCATTTCCTAAGTGCCTAAATGACTGCAAACCATTCCCATACATCCCCATGTATAATGCATATCTACAGGACAGAGGGGGCAGGCGGGAGAGGCAGTGAGTGCGCCTCTGTGTGAGAGCTCCTAATCTCTATTTTAGAATGTTCCTCTGGAATTTTTCCCAGGACATTTCAAAGCATTGCTTTAAAGTTAACCACTACTCATCTAGTATCAAGCCCATTCATCTGGCAAGGACTTTGGTAATGCAAGTAGATGATATTCTGAAAGGAATTACACAGGAAAACGGGACCACAAGGGACCTGACGGAGTGTCAGTACACAAACACTCCTCAGCACTGTGTTACCTATGGATCCACATTTCACACAGCCCCTAAGATGAACTTTATGCCTCAGTCCTGAAGCTGCATTTTGAGTCTAAAGACGTTGCTAGATCTCAGCCCCAGGCTGAGATCACGTTTTGCTGCCCAGCAGTTTCCAGGACAGCGCATCTAACTCCTGTCAAAGAGGGCTCATCCAAAACAGGTAGAGCTGGCATACCCCCAAAGCTAATCTCATTGCTAAAGACAACACAGATGAGACAACAGTGGTAAAAAGAAAAGTTGCCAGGGTTTACAGCAAATCTCTGATGTCACAGGTGATTTGGGGCTGCTGGCATCTCCCACAAGTTGGGATGGAGTCCTGGTACCACATGGAGCAGTGACAAGTTCAGCTGATCAACTCATTCTCCCCATCCACTCCACCAGGGATACTCTTTAATCGTTACTATTGATCCAGAGTCTCAAAATGAACAACAAAAAAATATTTGTGAAGTGTTTTTCACTCGATTCAAGCGTCATATATTTATTTTGGCTCAGAGCTTCATTCAAGGAAAAACAGCCTGTTTTGACTCTGCCTAGTGCTATGTGTGACATCTATGTGGGTTGTAATAGCTTTCTCCATGCTGTAAAAAACAACAATCATTTTATGTGCTTATCCACACTACAGTAGTAATCTTTCAGTAATTTAAAACACTCTTTTGTAAAGTAGTTTATATTATTTAAAATTTTATATTATTTAAAATTTTATTTCATAAGCTAGATTCTACCAAACCAAATTTTACCAATTATAAATTCAAAAGCTTATAAAGAATAGTGGCATACATTTTTCTCAGGATGTCTCTCTTTATTTGTTCACTCAGACTAATCTTAAGCTTCTTGTTCTCAGCAGATTCAGTAAAATATTCAGACGTCCCATTGGAAAGTTCTTCTTTCTGCTCCAAAAGAAAATACAGGTTTAAAGCAAGACACATCAAACTATGATTATCCAACAGAAAGCCCCATTTCTAATACTAAGATTTACAGCTGTTCTTTATTTTATTTTGATCCGAGCAGTCTAAAAGAAACAATTATTTTTAATCTTTTACTATTTGGGAGTCTAGTCAGTTCCCTCCCCTTGACTCCCAAGCAACATATTTCGTATGCTAAAATACACCGCAAACAAACAGGACTGCAGTGCAAAGGATGTAGCTTTCCAAACCATCTGAGGAAACTGTTGGCAAATATTTGACATCTTTGTGGCTCAAACTGTGACAAATGCCAGGAATCTCTCTTGCAGACAGGAGCACGCTTGTCAGTTTTTTTTCTGAAGAGACTGACTGGCGCAGTGGTCTATACACTTATTCTCAGAGGAATTCCCATAATTTTCCATACTTAGAAAAAAACATACACAGCGTTATTTGCTCATTGAACAAGGCAAGGGTTAAAACTTTTAATTCTAACATTTAAACGCTCACAGCTTGTAGTGGTTGGCTACTACAGGACAACAGGGGAATTCTTTCTGGTCTCAGCTAACAGCAGCACCATCCTTTTATATAATACGAGGTTGGGGCGAGCGGGAGGGAAGGAAAATGCTTTTTCGTCAAGCTGTGAGCACTTCCCTTCACAATGAAACAATCTCAATCAAAGAAGAGCTGTTTGCTGATTTCACTATTAACTACCACACACTTCCAAAGAAGTATTACGCCCGAGGCTATGGAGGGGAGGAAAAAGAAGCGGTGAAGTCAAGAGGAGAAGAGGCTTTGTGCATCTCCTTGTCTTTGAGAGCACTGTTCTCCCTCAGCCCCTGCGATGCAGCCTCTGACGGCTCCCCAAACGCAGGGGAGCTCCAGCCCACTCCTTGGTGAGGCACTGGATCCAGGTGGTGTGGCAGAACTGAGGGACACAGAGACAGCCAGCAGAGGCACAAAGCCACAGCCTGTACATGACCCCTGCCTGGAACACCCCTTGGGAACCCGTCACTTAGGGGAGATTAAGCCCTGCCCATTTTTATTTCTGTTTTAGAGGAGAGGGCAGGGGGGACCGCCATGCTCTTTCCAGAAGAAATAGCCAGTGAAAACAGCTTCTTATTTTGCAAGCAGAAGGAGGGTAGTCAGGCAAAGAAGTAAAGCCATTTTGGCACTTAAAGCTACAGCTGTTCTGCCCTTCCTTTCAGAGACAAGTTACACAAATGTGCACACTGAGCCAGGCATGAAGTTCTGTCCACACGTGGTGTAAGGAGTGTGTTTACAGCAGGCAGAAAACACATGGAGCATACCAGCAATGTGATTCCCAGCCTCAGAAATCAAGCTTAACTAGTTTAATCTGAGGGATTAATTGCTGCTTCTATTCTTGCTGGAGGTAGATTCCCCTAATTTGACTAAATATATTTTCATACTTTTAATACTAAGCCATTAAAGAATGAAATACTACTATGATATTCGAGCCTTGTGCTTATTTTAAGAGAAGGCAGAGACTGCAAAGTCTGTAGAAACTATTTTGATTTCCAGTAACAGCCTCACAACTTGGAGGCTGAAGGGTCTTGCACAATCACCGTGCATCAAAGCAGCTGGAGAGCACTCGTACTTGGCCGGAGAGCCAGAGCCCATATGAGTTCCTGCTGGGTGGAAAGGGGTAAGGTTAATTCTGTTAAACCTTCAGCCCCCAGCATGCTGACCAGGCCAGGATCAGCAGCCTGCCCAGGCAACTCTTGTCACTCTGGTAAGCAATGCACGGAAAGGAGCCCTTGGTACAAAATCCAGGGGAGGGCTGGGGACGGTTCCGTGCCCACGTACTCCCTACTGCAGATCAGGAATAAGCCCCAGCTCTGACTTGCCTCTGACTCAAGACCCTTGCAGGACTGGGTCGTGTCAGGCTGTGAGGAGCAGACCCTGCAGAGAGGCCAGGATGACAAAATCACAGCACTTGTGAATTGAGTCAGGCTGGAGCTAATGGCCCCAAGTTGCAGGGCTAACACATTCCCTCACTGCGCTGTCATCGACCTTTTGTTTTGCTTTCAAATAACTTCTCACACAAAGCAGTGACAGAAAGGGTTAAGGCATCAAAAAAAGTAAAAATCAAAATGATTTATATGTGAAACACTTCTGAACATGCCCTCTAAGTACAGTAGATTTTCCCCTCGGAACCACACCCTGTAAGTGCTGTATTTTGAGAGCTGAACAATTAACATAAGGCATATGAGTCAGGCTCTGAAAGACTCTGTGGGAACCAGAGAGCCTTTTGCTATTAGTAGTGATGTAAACTCCCTAAGGCTGGAATAAGTCCACAATAGAAGGCAAAGGGAGTCATAAATAACAACAGTGGGCACTCCATATACTACTAAGACACACAGCCATTATTGGTGATACTTCCTTTATTTTCTTTATTAGACTTAATAATTTTAGTTAATTAAAAAAAAAAATAAAACACACTGTCTGTTTTGGGAATACTATTTATTTCCTATGGGAACTTCAGGACTTGCTAAAGAAAGAAAAAAAGCTAATCTGCTCTCATCCTGTCTAGTAATCCCAGATTCCTTTTAGGCAGTGAAATAATTAAAGAAAAATATTCCAGGCATAAAAGGGAGGACAGCAGAAGCAGACATCATATAAACAATGACACCATGACAGAGAAAAACGTCAAAGCACCGCCAGACTTGCGACTCGACTCTGAAAGAGCTGCAGGGAGTGGGATTGCTGCTAACAAATTAAAACCACATTTCTTGGCAAATTGTTAAAGGCAGACATATTTACATTTGTATAGAGACTGGGTGGGCACAAAAGATTAAAATGCTTCTCTAGCCCTTGAACTGCCAAGTTCTATTAGAAATATGTGCTCTTAAAATCCCAGGGTAAGCTCAGTCCTTTGTCACTAAAACTGCAGAGAAGGGCCTACAGAAGTGAAGCTTGCAAAGTCTTATCAGCCTACCTGCTCATGACACTGGCCTCCCCAAATCTGAATTCAAGGTCCTTAATACTTATCCAAAGAGATGTTTGGGGGAAGAAAAACCTCTATCAAAACCTACAGAGAACTATCAGACACACTGCTAGGCACAGAACATACTTCCTGTAAGGTTTATCAAATTGAGGATTGTCTTTTTTTTTCTTTTTTGTTTTTGGCTATTTTACTCCACTTACTACACACACAAGCTGAAACAGAAACCCTCAGAACTGTAGAAGTGGCATTCACTGCCCTCTCTGTCCAGCTCTCTCCAGGACAGCTGAATTCAGCAGTACAGCACTAAGTACCTGTTAAAGGACTACCCAGGGACGGGCACTTGCGAGGGACCCTTATCCTGAAGAAGAGCTCATTCCCCTGAAGCAGAGGGAAAGCTTTGGCCTTGCCAGCATGACAATATACTCATACAAATACTCTTTTCTTTTTTTCTTCCAGTCTAATACTGGGTTGAAAGAAAATCTTCAAAGTGAACACTGCTGCCCCCCTTTCCTGCCTCTCTGGTGTCATGCTTGCTAGTTGTTTCTCACTCTTCTCAGTGCCACAAGCTTATGTCCCAATAAAGTAAGACTAAGAGACAATTAAATTTCATGTGTGGTTCCCAACCCCATAATAGAAAACACAGTTTTTAAAATGCATTTATCAATGTGGCTCATCAAAAATACTCAATAGAATACATCAGCTGGTTCAAGAAATCAATTTTTATATCATGGTGGCAAAAGGAAGGGGATTATAAAGACAGTAATATAGGCAAAGCTATGAACTAAAGTATTATTCCAGGTCCATACAATAAAACTAAAATTGGTGAAATGAGTAAGACAGAAACACTTATTTAGGAGAGCTTTATGTAAGCTTGCAATTGGATGATTTCTCTCAGTGCCATTCTAAGCTGCATCATGAGCTCAACCATCAAAGACAACCCTTAGGTTTCAGAGGTGTCCTGACAGATGACGGACAGATCAGAGAGGTCAGACAGGACTCCTTCCAATCTGATAAACAAAAAGGCTCCTTAAAGCAAGTGAGGAGGCTTCTGAGGGAAGGATGAATCAGACATTACAATCTAACTGATAAAAAAGTGACAGAGACAGGACTTTGGGTCTCGTCTCCTGCCCTCTCCCAACCCACATGAAGGAAAAGCTTCCCACAGTTTCAAGATGCAAATTTTTTTGCATTTCCAATGTAGTGATGCATCAGTCCTGGCAGTTCTACTTATGAACTCCAACCACATCATAAAACACTTGCAGAAGTTTTCCAAGTACAGAAATGGATATTATTCTCAACCTGAAATACAGTTCCTTGATCAGATTTGTGGAATATTGCTCTACATTTTAAAGCTGACTGTCCTGCTGTAGAAGTCAGTAAATTCCAGTAAAAACCATTAAGGTTACACTGGAATACTGGTGTTGCCTTTAGAAGTAAGTATTTTTAAGGAATGCTGGTCGTTTTCAAAAACACTCCAATTTCAATCTTGAAAGAATGTAACAACCAGGGCAAACTGCATCTGTCCAGGAGGAGCAGAACTGTTCAACCTTCCCATAACCCAGCACAGAAGGCAAAATCAAACTCCTGGGTCAGCACAGTCTTCACCATCTACCACCAAAATTCCTTTGAATGTGACACCACAGATTTTCAGATCTGCTCCTCAGGAGACCCTATGGTCTGTACGATTTAGTCCAAGCATTGGCCCAGTCTGTTACAAGCCCCTGTGATACACATTCCACTTTCTCAAAACACAAGGTGTGAACCCAAGTTTCTCACTCAATACGCAAGTCCTGGCAATTACAAACATTCCAAAGGTCCCCCAGGCATCACCAGATTAGCTTCAAGCATATGACTTCTATGAGGAAAATGCCTTTTTCCTTTTGAAGTATTTGTTTCAGATTTTAACTGTATTTCACAAACAGAAGGAATCCCAGACTGTTCTGAGTGTAAGAAATTCAGAGCTGTCTAGATTTGCATTTGAACACCCACTAAAGAAGAGAAAATAGAAGAATTCCTGCTG